GTGAATACCCTTATCTCAATCAATGCCCATAATTTAAAAAGGGTTTCAATATGTATTAGTATATAAATGCCACATAGGATACAGGGGACACAATCTTTACGCTTCTAGAATTACCAAAGCCGTGGAAGATAAATCACATAAAAGATATCATAGACGTAAAGATGATTTAATTTTGAACATGGATTTTGGTTGCGAATTTTGGTAGTTATACGTACCCATATAAAATAACTTTTTCGGCATCTACTAGAAATTTTTAAATACTATCATACTATCAAATTCATAGAAATACACCTATTTGAAAAAAAGCTGTCGGGTCTAAAAATGTGATATCATCGAAGCTCAGAACAACGCAAGGAAATGTAAGCACTCAAATTCAAATCATATTTGGCTAAACATGTTTTCATACATCATTACCCATAGAGAAGGTCATTTTTTTTCAGCAATCTTTTGGCAAGTAACATTCTTCCCATATTTCCTTTCGTTCTTAGTTTTGACRATGTCACCTTTTGGAACCGACTATGTTTTTTCAATTAGTTGTATCTTCGATTATTTATTGTGAGAAATCGATGCATAAAACTCCTTTTACTCAAACTCTCCGAAATACGAGATGAGTTAGCAAACAATTGTGTCCGTCAATAGCATATTTTATTTCTATAGTTTCTTTTCTACGGCTAAAGCTATTAAAACTATTGCAGTTATAATAAGAGCTAACAGGAGTATGAGAATAAGGCACATTCGAGTGTTCTGCCACCACATTTTTTTCCTTAGTTGAGATGAATGTCTTTGAAAGGTTTGAGCCTGTTAAAAAAAACATTAAAAAATTCTCTCGATCAATAATCGATCAAGTGTGCGAGACTRATAGGCAAAAGTTTAAGATTTCTTTATCGTTCTGYAAATAGTCCTACCACAATAGTCCTACCGACTGAATGCCGATATCAGAATTGCTGGGGTAGCACGTGTAGAGAATCGTCACGCAACATTATGTACAACAGTGAGTATGCTGGGGGCTGGGAACAAGTGTCCCACGTTGGTTGGCACGCGCTTTTAAAAGCCCACGTGACCCTCTCCTTGGGGAGAGGGAGTTACACGGTGTATGGTTGGCAGGCATTCACGACAGAAAAAAGTCATCAACTCTATATTATAAACTAAGATAATATTTTATACTAAAATGATAATTTGACATGTTTCGGCGTTACTTACGCCATCATCAGAATGTATATATGTATATATCAGAATGTATATATATATATATTACTTTCCTTACTTTGTATTCATTCTGATGATGGCGTAAGTAACGCCGAAACATGTCAAATACACCACATTTAAAAATCGTAATTGTTATTTTAAAATTAAAATGATAATTCTCCACAAAAAAATGTTTTTGAGAAATTTCACGTTATTTTAAGATCAGGGGCCTGGCGGGTATGACGTCGACTAAGGAAGCATTTTCTCAATTTTCAAAWTATATGTTGGAGATTCGAATGTGGACAAGTGAAGATGTGTTCTTTTGGAAACTTCCCATGACGCTTTAACATATTTCATTACTTTAATAGTTTTTGTCTTTCGTCAATTAATGTCGTGTAAAATATTCCTGTCAATCAATTTGCGCGTTCCGGAAATCGCTTTGCCGCTGTTTGTATAAGCTTGTGTTACATGCCCTACCCTTCAATGAGTATGGTGGTTGTGTAAGATGTAGTCTCATACCTACACCGTATGGTGACTTTCCTCAAATTAGGAAAAAATAGAGTTCATTTGCACTTTAAAAAATGGCTTTGATATTGGAGAGAGAAGAAATTTCACTTACACTGTGATCAAGACTTTCTGCTTTATCCACCAAAACATCAATTTTTTCACCTCTTTCTAGTACTTTTTCTGAAAGACAATTCAGACACACGTTAAAAATGCAAAATAGGCGAGTATTGAAGAATCCATCTATCGCTGTTTCCTTTCCCAACATACCCCAGTACATCCTGTGGTATCTCAGCATATCTTGTTATTTAAGCAAAGCCCATCCGCCCCATGATATCCCAATGCATCATATGGTATACTGGAGACAAACCATTGTATCCCAGTAAACTCCCACCCCCTAAAACGCAATCTGCATAATTAACTTGGAGAATAGGATTTACCTATAAAGGTAACTGATAGAACCATATTAAAATTATTGCCGTCTGGTCGGTGATAATTGAAATGCGTTGCGAACAAAAAGCTGTTTTGATGCACGAAATCGTAAATGGACATGCACCATAGTCCATATCACAAGCCCGCCATTTTGAATGGTTTTGCAATGTATCATGGGATATATCTCCCTTTCTTCATCAAAACAAATCGTAAAAACACTAATTAGTTTCGATTTTTCCACAGACAAAATATGTTTGTTTTCATTTTTGCTTAATTTGCCTAGTAAATGGAAATTCTTGATTAACTGTAC